AAGTTAAATATAAGGAGAAATCGTAAGTTTACCATATATTATATAAATAAGAAAGAAATAAAAATAACAAAATGAGCGTTATATAAATTGTTATAGAATTTTACAGTTATATTTATAGTGTAAAAGCGTTATAGTTTTTCATTCAATCATTGATCATCATATATTTAAAATTATTTTTTAATAATTACTTTAAAATTATATTTAGTATTTATTTTAATTTAATTTTTTTATAAAGATAAAAAAGATTACAAAGATGATCGCAATGAGGATTAAACCTAAGTCTTCATGCTTCTAACTATCTCAATCTCTCCCACCCAACTACTATGCTAATTTTAGTGGTTATTTTAATTTAATTAATACTATAGATATTTCGTATGCTAATAATGGCTTAAAACTAAACTCTAATTTTATCTTACGAAAATCATACCTCAATAGTAAAGAAAAATGTGTTAAACGTTAATGATTGATATGCCAATAATTGCTGCTAGCTGCTATGTATGATTATTTCCGTATGGTAGCATTCCTATATATTGTCATCTAATAATGCGGACGGTCGTATCCACTATTGTGTATGACATTGAGAAATATCGTTTTCTTAAAGTTAATATGATGTAGTAAGAAAGCATCTTTTTTGGACAGTTTTTTCTCACGATTTTGTCATGTAAGAGAAAGATAGATAAAACACGAGGCAAGATATCGACAAATATAGAGAGAAAGAGAGGGGATACATCACATGAGAAATATCTCAAAATGAGAATGATTAATTTAGGCCAATATTTTAAAAGAGATCATTTATATTAAGAAATTTATTTAAAATTATAATTATAATTATTATTGTTGGTATGTTTAAGAGTGACAAATGGATGAATCGAAAATTTTTTTAGATGGATCGTAATATATAATATAAAAATAATTTATTAATCAATTTAGATCAATTATAAATTAATATAAATATTCAATTCATTCAATTTATTTAAGTAAAAAAAATCATCAAATTCATCTATTAACAATTTTTTCATGGATGGATATTCAATTCATCATAAAAGTAATGTTTTAAAAATTAAAAATAATTTATATATTTTTTAAAATATTTTATTTCTCTCTCTTTTCTTTATAAGTCATTACATTCTTATATATTCTTTTAATATTTATGAAGCTTTTTTATGTCAAAATAATTTTTTTAAATCTCAATTCAATAAATATCTCATATGTAATCTAATGGATTTTGAAAAATAGTGGATCACTAAACATCTATAAAATTAAATGGATGGATGAGATATGGCTATTATTTATTTTTATTATAATGGATGAATTTACTTGTGGATAAATCAAATGGGTGATGAATAAATGAATTCATTTGCCACCCCTAATCATGTCATTGTTGAAATCATTGTCATTAACATCATCATTGTTATCACCTTAATTAGTTATCTCATTGTCATTATTTTTACCGTAGATTAAAAAAAAATTATATTAAAAATTCTACTTAAATTTACATCCATAATTGTTATTGTCACTTTGTTATTGTTATCATTATTTTCATCGCTATCGTCACGATTACGACCACCATCATTATAGTTGTCGTCATTGTGGTGATCATAACAATGACGATGAGGATGGTGGTAGCAACAATAACAACAATAAAAGTTATGGTGGGATGAAGGTCACATCACCTCAACAATGATGTTGGATGATGATAATGATAGTGGTGATAACATTATATCCGCCACTTATATTGTCACCACCCTTAGTTTTCACCACCATCACCACTACCACCATGTGACAGCGACAATGACAACATTAGTGGTCTTGCAAAAAGTGGTTATAATTGGATTTTAACCCAACAATTTATCATTCTTTATTCAAGGTCCTATGAATATTTGCTTATATGAGAATACATTAATTATCTTCATACTATCACATAAACAAGTGTTATCACATGAGTTGCTCCCTAGATATACATAGGGAGTGAGTCTAATGAGAATACTTGCTTATATGAGAATTAGGGATGAAAATAAATCAGACTTTAAATAAGGTCCTAAGGCTCAGTTCTTTTAAAGCTAAGCCTAGCGTAGTATATTTAATAAAAATGTTAGCTTTATGCTTTTAAAAAGACCTATTTATGTAACAAAATAAAATTATTATGTAAAAAAGGGTTATGCATAATGTACTAGATAGGTACCAGACCATCTTATCGAAGATATCTTGTCCCCCACTATGAATCCTAGATGCTTAAGAACCTTGGTTGCAGGTTGCATGTTTGAACACTAATCAATAGGTAGAGTAGGTGTTACTCTTAAATCGAGTACATCTTGGCTTATTGAGACACATCTCCATCATTAAGTCTGACAAATAGCAACGCCCAACTGTTATATGACAATAAAAGGTCTTGAAAGCTCTTTAATGTTTCCTCGACTAACAGTAACATTTTCTCTCCTATTTATACTATTGCATTTCACCTTCATAAGGTATGTTCATTCTTGATTTTACACTCATAAACTTTGAACACTTGATGACTTAACCATCAGAGTACCTTTTTCATGTACAACAACTTATCTAAAGACTTCCAAGGACTTGCGAAAAGCACGAGTACTTTTTCCCTGCAAGTACATTTGGCACCACTATGGGGTTGTAGAAAAATTATTCATACAATCTTATTGATGAATAGATGGTAGGAATGGGCGGATTACCGTGTAGGACCCATGAGACACCAGATAGCATGCGCATGTTCACAAAATTGTAGAGAGAGCTACAATAGTGGCATAGGCGAGTGGGAGGTAGTAAAAGTGGCATGAGGAGGAGATAACTCTCCTCAGATAGCAAAACTCTAAGATGTTAAGATTGATTGAACAGTCGCATACGATCACCCAAATCATTACTAGTGGCAATGATCCAACTTGGCAGCTAGGCATGTCTGGCTCCTTGGACAACTCCAGTTTTTCTCCTAACACGCACCCAACCAATGTGTCGACCACTCAAAAGGCTTGAGTCACCCAAGTGTTACATCAGGCACTAACATTGGCACCAAATTTTGCTACCATTACAGAGGAGGTCCACAAATATCCCCTCACCAACGATATAATGAGGTTACCCCTCCCTAAGGGTTGGAAGAACTTAAGATTGGACAAGTATGATTGAACTGCCAATCCTAATGATTATGTCAACTTGAACGTCTCACAGTTTAGTATGCTTACTAGCACCGATGTGGTTGTGTCAGTTTGTTTTTACTTTGTTAAAGGGGGTATAGTTGAGGTGGTTTACACATCTTCCACCTTTCTCAACCAACTCATTCAAGATGTTGGTCTCCTAATTCAGTACCCAATTTGCTACTAATTGCTTGCATGCCATGACCTTGGCCACCCTAATTAGTGTCAAGCAAGATAAGGAGGAGTTTCTCCGAGCCTTCATGGACAGGTTTAGGAAAATGGCCTTGGAAATCCCATTTTTAGTTGAAGGGGTTACTTTGCACTAGATGTTGTCAACCCTGAGGTCCCATACAACCACAATGTTTGGCATATTTCATCAATGAGATAACCACAAAACCTAATTGTGGTCATACATGGACTTTGTATGTTGATGGATCATCTAATAGGAAAGATAGTGATGTAGGGGTTATTTTCGAAGAGTCAGGAGACATAGTAATTAATCAATCACTAAAAGTTAGTTTTTAGGCCTCTGACAACCAGGCCGAATATAAAATCTTCATAGCAAGAATGAGGTAGAATTTATTTCATACATTCAACATACTTCCTTCTTACCTCAATGGATACCAAACTTAAGATGTAGATCTCTAAGGTCGTCTCTTGTTGCCTCCAGTTTTCTTTCATCTTCAAATTACAAGAGTGCACGTTAAGAATATGTGAGGTAACCCTATATTTACTAATATGTTTATAGAGGAAAAACTAAACCCTAGCCTGCACATAACCCATTGGTAAAAGTATGTTAATCCACCATTAGTTATTCCTCTCTTGAAATTTAAATTGTTTTATGAAGAAAATAGAGCAAAAGGAAAAAGAGAAACAAAAGAAATAGAAAAAATATTTATTTTGTATTATTCTATCTTTGAACAAATTCTAAATTAACCAACTATAGTTGTAATAGGTCTACCACTCAGCAAAAATGAAGCCTTAGCTTAACAAAATAAGTTTGATATGGCACAGCCACACAATAAGGCAACAAAACAGAAAAATATCCCAATACTCCCCCACAAACTCAGAGTTGAGGAAGACCAAAAACACTGAGTTTGTCACATAAGAAGCAAAATTGATCTTGAGTTGAGGTTTGGTAAGAATGTTAACACTTGCATATGTATAGGAACATAGGAAACAATGATAAACTTTTTGAGCACCTTTTATCTGACAAAGAAAATACCTAACTCCATATGTTTGATTTGAGAATGAAGCATCAGATTGTGACTAAGAGTTATGGTACTCTGATTATCACAGTAGATGACAAGAGTAGAGATAAAGACTTGCAATTCATCAAGAAGGGATCAAATCCACAATATTTCAGATGTGGCAAGAGAAAGGTTGTGGTACTCAACTTCAACAATAGAGCGAGCCACCAAACTTTGCTTTTTAGAGCACCAAGATACAAGGTTAGGACCAAGGAATACACAAGCACCAAAAGTAAAGCAGCTATCATCAAACATCAAAGGCCCAATCACCATCAGAAAATACCTGCAAAGACAAAGGAGTAGTAGAGCTAGCCTTTTGAAGATGTAAACCAGTGTTAGTAGTGCCATGTGGATAACATAAAATACGCTTAACAATAATCCAATAAGAAACTAAGGGTTGAGCCATATATTGGCAAACTTTATTCATAGCAAACCCAATCTTTGAACGAGTAATGTGACATATTGAAGAGCACCAACGACTGACCTATAGGTGACTGAATCATCAAAGTAATGAATGCCATATATAGACAATTTAACTTTGGTTTGAGAAGGGGTAGAAATACTTTTGGCCTCTCATGCATATTGGTGTGGTACAAGAAATCACCAATGTACTTAGCTTGACTAAGGAGCATAGACCCAAAAGTAACATGCTTAACCTCAATACCAAGAAAATAATCCAAATCACCAAGTTGCTTAAGAGAAAAGGTGGCATTGAGCTTTGAAATGAATTGTTGCATCAAAGAAAGATAAGTACTAGTGATAATTATATCATCCACATATACCAAGAGATAAACACAGGCAATAGACTTCTTGCAATCAAGAAGAGACAGATCATATTTGTTGTGAACAAAGACAAAGTGAAGTAAAGTAGTGGTGAGATGTTCATACCAAGCCCTGGGTGCCTGTTTAAGACCATAAATGGCTTTGTTAAGTTTGCAAATTAATGATTTATCAAAAACTTCAAAACCTGGACACTGCCTCATGTAAACATCTTCATCTAAGAAACCATTAAGGAAAGCATTGTTAGCATCAACCTATTAAATAGACCAACCATTGGTAAGAGCACTGATGAGAATAATGCATACTGAGACAAGTTTAACAACACATGAGAAAGTTTTTCCATAGTTACCCCCCAAACTTTTGATGAAAGCTTTTGGTAGTCAACCATTCCGTATATTTATTTATACTACCATCATGATTTTGTTTTAAACGATAAACCCATTTGCAACCAATTATAAACCTATCAAATAAGGGAGAAACCAGACACTAGGTTTTACTTTTCAACGAGGCATCATACTCAAATGGCATGACATGTTTCCACGAGGGAGAAGATAAAGCTTTCTAAAGTGAGGTGGGTTCAGTGGTAGTTAGTAACAAGGTAGGATGCAATCTAGGTCTAACAACACTATATTTGGATCTAGTCTACATTGGGTAAGAATTAGTGGGAGGTTGATGAGAAGCAACATGTGGATCAGATTGTGAAGGAGAAATGGATGAAGAAAAGTCTATTAATGAGATGAATGAACTATTTGTGGAGGTATCAGAAGAACCATTAAGTGGAGAAGGTGCAAGAGCATCAGTGTTTAAGATGCCAAGAGGAAAAAGAGGTACACTTGAAAAAATTGGCAAATTAGGCCTTGAAGAACAAAGATATGGAAACTGCTACTCATTAAAAACCACATCCTTAGAGATGAACATTCTTCCAACATTATAGCTAGAGCATTTATACCCCATATGAGAAGGAGAATATACAAGAAAAACACACTCTACAGAACAAAACTAAAGCATATACTGGTTATAGGGTCTCAATAGTGGGTAACAGGTACACCTAAATACCTTCATAAATGTGTAATCAGTACTCTTGTTAAATAGAACCTGACAAGGAGCCTAGTTATGATGAAACATAGATGGAAAATGATTAATGATAAAGACAATAGTATAAAAGGCATAATCTCATAATTTCATAGGTAAAGATGCTTGTGAGAGAAGAGTTAAACCCATTTCAATAATATGTATATGCTTTCTCTCAACAACACCATTTTGATGGTGGGTATGAGGACATATCAACCTATGATGAATACCTAAAGAGGTCAAAAATTGAGCTTTGAAAGGTTGAAATTCACTTCCCCAATCAATTTGAACAAATTTGATTTTGTGATTAATTATAGTTTAGCCATAACTTGAAACAATTTGAAAGTATTAAGCACTTTAGATTTAGTTTTCAGGAAATAAATCTAGGTAAACCTACTATGAGCATCAACAATAGACATATAATAGGAGTAACCCATAGAGGAGGTGACCAAAATTGGTCCCCACAAGTCACAAAATATGAGCTCAAAAGGATGGGAGTAAACAATAGAAGAAGGAAGAGAAATGAGTCTATGAGATTTGCCCATACAACATGCAACACAAAAGGGATAGTCAGTTGAATTAGATACTAGAAGATTACAAAATTCCAGTAGATTATGTAAAACTAAAAAACTAGGGTGACCTAGTCTATTATGCCACAAAGACATCATAGTGGCAGTAAGTGTGAAAGTATGTTATAAAGAAACATCAAAAGTAGGAGTAGATGTTGATGCTGTAGCATTGATAGTATGGACAGATTACTTGGATTGTAGTTGAAGAGACAAGGTGGGGAAAGAATAGAGACCATCAGTAGTGAGAAAACCCTCAAGTAAGACATCATGATTAACTTGAGATTTCACAAGATAAAATATAAGGCAAAACTGAAGAAAAAAAAACATGATTATCACGAGCAAAAGTATTAGGAATATGAGAAGAGAAAGATATTTGGTAATGGAAGGCCTAAGAAACATATTAAGATGTAAAAAGTATTAGGATTATGAGAAGAGAAAGACATGGAACTAATAGACCGAATGGACAAACCTTGACCATTTCCTAAGAAAATATGCTTAAGTGCTATGATGGGATTCAGTGGTAAGATAATTGGAGTTGGAGGTAACATAATGGGAAGCACCAAAATCAACAAGCCAATTAGGAGATTGTTTTTAGGGAAGCACATTGGCAACACAAGCTTGAGGTGAAGGATGAAGAACCAAAGCCTGAGGTGTTGTTTAAAAGGAACGAACATACTGAAAAAGATTCTTATATTGATCATAACTATAGGAGGGCCCAAAATAACATGAGTAAAGAGCTCCAAAAGGCATAAGCAATAATTGAGTTGGATAAGACATGAAATGTTGACCACCAAGAACAAAGGTAAGATTAAACCTATGAAAACAAGAAGCAGTATCATGGCCAAAATGGCCATACAATTGACATTGAATGCTACCACGGCCTAAGCGACTACCATGACCACCACGTCAACCATTTCTACCACCATGAGAAGAATGAAAACCACCTGAAGCTCTAGAGGTAGAGGTTCTAATGAAGTGAATCTGAGAAGAGGGGACAACTAAAGAAACATTATTATGAGGAGCTACTTGCAAAACTTGGGACTGAGTTAGGTTAAGATTAGCAATTAAATCCATATTTTCCTTTTATTTACTTAGATGTGACTCTTGGGCCACTAAAAGAAACGCAATATCATCAAAATTAATCTACTTAGGTTTGTTGCTAACTAGTGTAATTAGAGACTCATATTCAAGTGACAAGCCTTCAAGGATAGCATCAATCTTTTCTTGAAAGAAACAAGTTCCTCAATTGAGAGAAGAGCACCAAAAATGGATTTGACTTTACTTAGGGTTTGCAAGATTGTATTTTCTCCTTTGCGAAGGTTATGCAGCTCAAAACGAAGATGATGTGCCTGAGCTTTTGTTTTAGAATGGAAGTGATAATGAATCTTCTCCCACAGCTAGCATGAGTAACGACAAACAATGATGATAGGAAGAATCATAGGTGAAAGAGAAGATTGAAGCCACACAAAAAGAAGTTGATCTTGTAGCTCCCAAGTTGCAAATGTTGGATTCTCATGATCAGCAACACCATCATCATCAGAAGAATCAAAACCACCTGAAGCTTAGAGGTAGAGGTTCCAATGAAGTGAATCTGAGAAGAAGGGACAACCAGAGAAACATTAGTATGAGGAGCTCCTTGCAAAACTTGGACTGAGTTAAGTTAAGATTAGAAACTAAGTCCATATTTTCCTTCTATTAAATTAGATGTGACTTGGGCCAGTAAAAGAAATGTAATATCATCAAAATCAATCCACTTAGGTTTGTTGCTGACTAGTGTAATTAGAGACTTATATTCAAGTGACAAGCCCTCAAGGATAGCGTCAATCTTTTCTTGTAGAGAAACAAATTCCCCAATTGAGAGAAGAGCACCAAAAATAGATTTGACTTTACTTAGGGTTTGCGAGATTGTATTTTCTCCTTTGCGAAGGTTATGCAACTTAGAACGAAGATGATGTGCTTGAGCTTTTGTTTCGGAATGGAAGTGATGATGAATCTTCTCCCACAAATACCATGAGTAACGACAACTAATGATGATAGGAAAAATTGAAGGTGAAAGAGAAGATTGAAGCCACACAAGAAGAAGTTGATCTTGTAGCTCCCAAGTTGCAAATGTTGGATTCTCACGATCAACAACACCATCCTCATCAGAAAGGTAGTGCGTAGGAATTTCCGATACAACACAGAAAAGATGAAGTTTGTGCGCATGAAGAATAGGCTCTACTTGTTGGAGCCAAACGAGATAATTGTCATTAGTGAGCTTCTCCGTAATTAGAAAAGACACTATGAAAGGCGATAAAAGCGCTGAAAAATTTTGTGTTGATGAAGCAGAAGCGATGACTGGCTCTTGATACCATGTAGAAAACAAAGCAAAAGGAAAAAAGAGAAATGAAAGATAGAGAAAAAAATATTTCTTTTTGTATTATTCTATCTTTGATTACAAGAAAAGGAACACTATATATAGAATCTAATAAGATTTTAAATTAACCAACTATAAAGTAGGTCCACCACTAAGCAAAAATGAAGCCCTAGCCTAACAAACTAAGGCTAATGTCAAGAGAACAAAACAAAAAAAATATCCTAATATTTTCTATAATAACTAAATTAGAAAATATTATTTTTATCAATAATTTTTATTATCAAAATAATTTTTAATTAATTAAATTAAAATATCTTTATTAATTTATTTTGAAAAAAGTCGGGATGATATTGTTATAAAATATTAGAATATAATATAAATACTTTTATAGTTGGTTGTGAAAAACAAATTTGTTTTATGGAGAAGCAAGATGGCAGGAAACAATCCAAATCTATATTTGGGAGGCATGAAATAACATGGAATAGAAGGAAAAGATAGATGTACGATGAATTGAAGAGCCATTGTGTTTGGAAGAGAAAAAGAGTTGAGAATTAGTGAGAATGTGTAGTGGGTCTCATATTATCCAATTTCATATAACCAAAAGAGTGAAGATTTTTGAAGAATTAAAGGCTTAAAAATTTGTAGTCAAAGTTGTACAACGCGGTAGCATAAGTTCCAAGACAAAAGAAATATAGTCCACTATTTTATCCAATATTCATAGGTTACTTTTAAATTAATATATATATATATATATATATATATTAATTTAAAAGTAACCTATGAATATTGGATAAAATAGTGGACTATATTTCTTTTGTCTTGGAACTTAT